CTACTACTACTACTACTACTACTACTACTACTACTACTACTACTACTCTATTAATTATATTAATATAATATATTATATTATGTAAATCTAGAACTTAGAACTTACAACACCATCACGTGTGATGTTTTCTTCATAACTACATAACTTGACGGTATACTGAATCCTGTATGAGGTACTGCAAAAACGTGCTCAGCCTACACCATAAATAGATACAAGTTGTACTGTACTGGTTGTACTTGTACTGACTTAACTTGTACTTGTACTCGTACTGTACAAAACCTACCCTATGGATCCCTATGGGCACCCCAAAATAGAAAACACTTCACCAAAGGACCACGTCTACAAGTCATGTACAGTTTGTATAATGATATGATACGATACAATTGATTGTCAATTCTCTTGTGATCGTGACGATTAGCAACCACTGGGGCTACTACTGCTGCTACTACACTACTTGAGCTCCGGTTTACTGAATTCTGTCACTGTCTCAATCTTCAATTCAACACTCACTCACTACGGTAACAGTAAAGTCCTTTCAATTTCGTGCACTAGAAACGCACCCATGTTAATGTTAGTGTCAGTTCATGGTGTTATTTTGTTTTAACAAAAATTCACTTAACTCTAAGGCTACGGTCCGCAGTCTATACTGTAATTTTATTAAATCGATAATTTGAAGTTGAAGTGCCAACATATTGAAACTGCCATTGTTTTGTTCACAACTCTTACTATTACTTTACTTAATATTCAAAGATTCAGAATTCAAATGATATTCACAATGTATTCTTACGTAGATAGGTTGGGTGCATGCATGATGTGTTGTGTTCTGGAATTCTTTGCCTCAGATGCCAGAGAGATGCCATGTTTGGCTGACCACTTCGTCCTAGCTAAACTTACCACCAAAAAACAAATACATTGGATATGATATGTCTTAGAGTTTAGGACGTCGTAGACAAAACATCCTGAATTGAATCCAACCCTACAGCCTTAACCTCAAGTTTTTGGACACTGACATTCGACTTATATGGATTGACAAGATCCTCCACTTTCACACACATTTGAGGTTAGGGTTTCGTCTACGAAGCCGTATTGTAGACTGAACATCCTACAGTTTAATTGTGTAGGAATTGAAATTGAAAAGCAAGACCAACAGAAAGGACCAGAAGTGAATACAGGACCAAGCAGGAAACCCCCAGCCAAAACTGTCAATATTTTTGTGCAGGGGTCAGGTTGAGGACTTGAACAAAATGCATGAAGTCTGCTGAGCCAAGGATAGTGGACTGGATCCTGCTAGCTGTCGTGCTATCTCCGATGTTGCCCGCATCAGCCTTATTTCTCGAAGCATGCTGTGTGCAGTATGTCGTGTAAGCGTTGTAGCTACAGTATGATGTATGAGTCCAGGCAGATTCACATAGTGCAGACGTGAGGCAAAATGTTCAGTAGAGTCAGAATCAATAATCGGTGTTTGGGCTGTAGTACTTTGCTGTCTCAGGTTCCCTGGGCAGGCAGGCATACACACTTGGTTCCAAAGTCACTGCGCTCTCCACCCACGTGAAGCTCTTTGACTGGGAGAGTGGGAGCTTGCTCAGTGGTGAGGAGATTAAGTTTGGCATCCAATTGTGTCAGATTCAATTCAATCCTATTAACAGGGTCTGTTAAGATAAGTTAAGTTAATGTTAATATGTTGAGAAGCGAGTGCCAAACAGCTGTTGGCTGTTATTTAGAAACTTTTGAACCTCAGTCTCCAGATGTTGGTTCCTTATTTATGCAACACTACCATGTGACGCAGGACCTCCTTCTGCTGCAGGGATTTGACCCGTACAAAGTCGACTTGGAAGGCATGTCATACAACGAGATCAACTGTCTAGCAGGCCCAACTTGGGGTTGTTGGCCAGGGGCTTTCCACTAGTTTTTTTCATTTTTCTGTGAGGTTGGAGGTTGCAGGCTACAGGCTGCAGTTTGTTTCTTCTCATCGTGACGTTTCCACATCATCGACGACTAGTTGTTGACGTTGTTTGAACAACACTGGAGGTGATGCATGGAGTGTGCCTGTCTGTGGAGCTTTCCTCTTGGCTTTCGTTGCTGGAGTGGTGCCCGGACCTACAGGAAAGTCTGCCCTCAAGCTCAAGGCCACCCCTCAGCCTCCATTGGCGCGGAACGCTGATGAGGACTCTGATACTGAAACAGAACTTGAAGGTGACAGTTGGGAGGTTCCAAGTGATGGGAGCCCCTGGAGATCCCCTTCAGACTCCGAAACCCTCATTCTTGGTATGAGTCCAGTGCCTCGAGAGAAGAAGAAGACGAAGCACTTTAACATCAAGAAAGTGCAAGACGCAGACACCATTTGCCATGTATGCTACCAGCAAATCAGCCAAGGCAGTATTGCACTTACCTGGACCAAGTATGAAGACCGTCCTTCTGGGTTCCCCTTTCCATTTGAGCAGCACTTCCATCCTGACTGCTTCCCAACCTTTGTGACCCGAGAAGGTATTGAGGACACTGCCATTGAACACATCTTGGATGTCGATGTGCCTGCGAACTGGGGGATGGAAAGGGCCAGGACGATGCTGGAACACGTCCTGCAGGTGCTGGTTGAGGTCACGGGTGAGTGGGCGGCAGAGGACACCCATGCCGACACACATGCCGACACACGTGCCGACACCCAGGGGAAAGCGTCCTCTTGATCAGCGGTTTGAGACTGGCGAGAGGGAACCATGACAATGACGCCCAGTCCAGTTTTGTTTAAAGTGAGCTCTGCCATTTCCAAAAGGGCAGAGAGCAGGCATCATGCAATGCAGCAATGGTGCGGGTATGTGCGGATGGATTTTGATACCATGCAACAATGCAGAGATGCTACAACGCTGGTTGGTGAAAAAGTCGGTGTTTGTGGCAGCACCCTCGAACCAATGGGCACAAATAGGGTTAGACCAAAATCCAAAGCCGGAATCAAGATTTGTTTGACTGTTGACTGTTGACCCCTGTCGAATCTTGGCATGGATCTAGTTGCCACTTCAACCACCTGACCGAACTCCTTGGCTTGCTTGCTTGGTTGCCCCGTCTTGGCTTTGCTGGTCATTTGATTGTTTACTTTGAGTTGAAACTACCTTCAATGACCAGTTGACACTTGTTGTCTCACTGAACCTTTTCGACTGTTTTGCTTGATGCGTCAAGCCGGATTTGGTAGCGCTTGTTTGTTCTCTTGTCCTGTCCAGCGAGCGTGGCGTTCCCATCTGCTGATTCCAATGGCAGACCCAGAGCAGACCAAAAGCCTTGAAGATGCAGCCAGTGATGAGGAGGATGGATGGCCTGAAGGTGAATGCGGCCTATGCAACCAAAAGTTCCAGTCGCAGGATGAGGACTAGGTTTTTGTTTGACAGTCTGGTATAGGATATTATAGGATAGTATAGTCCAAGTCCAAGGTATTTCTTGTGAATTCCTGTCACAGTCTCTTTAACTGCGGAGCACATGCCTGAGGATGCTGTTGATGGAGCTGCAATGACTGTGACCCCATGCAAGGGGGTCAACAAAGGCGAGTGCTTACGCTGCTTCTACATTCGCCGGGGGTCATTCAAGAATGTTGAGTCAGGGATGCTTCGGGGCTTATTGAAGAAGAATGCCAATTTGCGGGACAAGTTGCTTGGCATTCCTGTTTTCCTCAAAAACTTGAAACCTCCCTGTCAGAGAAATCTCCCAGTTGCGTTAGTTGGAGAAATGAGAAACCTCCGATTTACAGGAACTTCCCCCATGATCGAGAAACCTCTGACTTACAGATTTGTTTTGTTCAGTGTTTTTTTGTTCGAGTACGAGTACGAGACTATACTGTACAGTATATCTGACTAAAAGCTTCTGGTTTATAAATAATATAGTATATTTAAATAAATATAAACTTCCAAGTTACAACACAGGGAGCCTGTCAATGCCTAGGTTCCGGTCGCTTCGCAAAAAGCATATTCGGATCACAACCAGAAGCCCTGGCACCCGCCCTCGGCATGAAAGCATTGACGTTCGTCATTTTACTGAGAAAAAGAATGAGGCCTTTGTCGATATATTCGAGGACTGTGGTTTGGGCAAAAAGCTATGAGCTGATATTAATCACTGTCCACCGTCCACGGTCTATTCGATAAGTTTTCTAGAACTGATAGTCTCAAAACAAGCAGTGAGCGTGTAGACTCCCCAATCCCTTTTGCCCTGTGAGGAGGGGGAGTGGATGTCCATTTCTGATTATATCGACACCAAGATTGACGATGAGAAAATCAAGAAGAAGCTGAAGACTCAAGCGCAGAAACGGGCTTATGTGACCAATGTGTCCTGGCAGTCTTCCACTCTTCTGTTAAGTTATTTTTTTGTCAGTGAGTCTGTGCCTGTTTGTAACTAACGAAGGAAGTATCAATGTAAGATCTGGGAAAACATGTGACTGAAGAACTAAGAAGAAGAAACAGGATTGTTTTATGTGTCGACTGACAAGTTACAGATTCATTCTCACCAGAACCCTGGTTAGTTTGTTAGGTCCTGAAGCTCAAAGTGCAAAAGGAGAGAGCAGCAAGGGTTGCAAAATACTTGGAACAGTAATCTAGCAACTACAGTGAGGGAAGCGGTCAGAACCTAACACTAAGCAAGTTTTTCAAATCACTCCCTAGCCCTAGCCTCATCACATTTGAATGCTTCATGCTCAATCATGTTCCTTGAAGGACGACATGGGAGTTGATGGAGTCATCATACTCCCAAATGCGAAAGTGAAAAAGGTTCGCATGGGATCAAGGGTCAGCTCCGCCCAGCTGCGACGTGAAGAGCATGCTGATGGCCAGGATGCCAAGGCAGCTGCAGAAAAGAATAAGATCTGTACCGCCATGGATGTCAACACGAAGGACTGGTGTTGTCAATAATTACTATTGTTTTGCCAGCCTGCAGCCAGGTCAGCCACTGCACTTGAAAGCTTCGGAGTTTCAAGTTTCCCAGTTACCAGTTCAGGATGGAACCCCACACCTTCCCATCATTCACACCCATCAAAACAAAGTAACACAACACCTCTTCAACCAAAGTTGATGTGAGGAGGAAGAGACTGCCGCTCTTGGTGACATGCCAGAGGCTGAAGAAGAGGAGCTTGCACAGCCAGATGAGTCTGAGGGAGAGGGATCCGATGACGGCATGTTTGGGTTCGCAGGTGCGACTGTGAAGGCAGCAACAAAGCCACAACCCAAGAGGAGAGCACGAGAAGTCACGTCAGCACCAGGAGGGCCTGTCCCAGGATCCGGCACAGCTTCTGGTTCAACCAAACCAGAAAAAAGATCCGAAGAGACTGTGAATGCCAAGATTGCCAAGGCTGTCCAAGCCATTGATTTCATGAAGGAGGTTTCTGGTTTGGCCATTTGGCAGGGGGCTGTCAAAGAGAAAGACTTGAGCAGCAAGCTGTCCAAATACCTTGATTTGGCAAACCAGCTTGATGGAGCCACAACCAATGTCGAAACAGCCAAAGACCATGCCAAAGCACTCTATGACAGAATCACCGCTGTGAATACCGTGATTCAATGCTTGGATGATGCCCGCCTCTTGCTGAGCAAGATCAGCAAGGACTGCGAGGCGCTTGAATCTGACGAGAACAGGAATATGTTCCAGCAGATGGTGGATGGCTTGCCAGATGACTGCAAGAATACTGTCCTGACAGATGTTGGGCGCAAGCTGACTGAGGTGCTTGGTTGGAAAATCTTTTCGCAATTTTTTCACCCACCTCTTGCCGCAAACCACCCAAGAAAATTCCTGATGCCAAAGTTTGGTTTAAAACACCTAGTCCACCCTGAGAGGCCTGCTTCCAGCCTGGCAGTGATGGCTACTTTTGGGACTTCGTGAAGTTGGATGTCAACAAGAAGGAACCCAAACCAGTGTGTTTGTCCAGCGCTTTGCCTCATGACAAGGCTTCATCCCTTCAGCAGCAGCTTGTCAATGGATGGATGGACAGGTTCCGAACTGCTGGCCCTGACCCCACTGAACATGCTGTGGGCTGTGTGGGCTTCCCAAAGGAAATTTGGAAGGCTACAGCCAGGACCCTTGACAAAGCAATGGTCAAAAGACTTGTGGCTGTGTTACAGTGTTTGTTTGTAGTTTGTTAGTTTATTAAATATTATTAAATAAGTAGTGTTACTGTACCCTGAAATGTCGATTGCGACATGCTGCAAGGATTGATGATGGCAGCGACACTGATTGTTTGGAGGGATTCTCAGTGAAGTTGCTCCTGGACCTGCACCGGTTCGTGGCTGTTGGAAATGTCATGGAGCACACAGCAGGCAACATTGTCCTGGACAAGAGGACTGTGAAAGAGATAAAGGCTGCTGTGGGCTTCTCTCAACGGGTTTCGCCACGATGTGCTCTGCTCTTCCGTTCTAACCAACGCTTGAGGACAGTGGTTAGGGCTGACATGTCCAACGTGCATGGACCAAGGATGATAAAGTAGTTTGAACATCAGGTGAGTCAATAGTTTTGTAATTTGTGTGGGAATTTTTGGTTCATGGGGTGCTTTTGCTTTTCAAATGTGGCAGGACCCTTTGGCAAGCGACTTGTGATATAGCCAAGTCCGCCATTGATGAGACCAAGGTTGTTTCTGAAGGTGGCAACATGGCAAACAATTTGAAGGAGTTGATTTCAACTGTGCAGAACGCAGTTGACAAGTCAGATGCCAGCAAGGGCTCTTGGGACCAGATCAAGCTCAATGCTGCAAACTGTGGCAATGCTTTGGCTTACCTTGACGCGTGCCAGGAATCGAAGGAGGAGGGTGCTCAGGACGCCTTGACTGCATTGAAAGCCCAGGTGGAAGCCTTGACCGTGCTCATGGGTTCTGACACATTTTCCTCTTCCACAGCTTCAGTGTCCAAGCATCTTCAGGACCTTTGGCTGGCAGAGCCAGGGGAGAACCTCAACTTACCCTGCCGAGAGAAGAAAGACGTAATGCTCATCCTGTGGAAGGTGGCAGTTCAAGGCTCTGGGATGGTCAAAAGGTCATTAATACTGACTTTTGTTTTGTACAGGATGGTAGTGTAGTGTTTCTACATGACTGACTGCATGTTATGTTGCAGTCTTCAATCGCTACAGGATTGATTCTTTCTGGAGTCCTTCGCAAAGATGTGCTGTACAATTCGACCTTGAGTGAGTTTGCAATTGCCCTACACGACTATGGCAAGGAGGAGAAGCCGAATCTGAAAGCCTCCTGTGCTGCCAGAGCCTCACTCCACAGATGCCTTGCCAAATGTCACAAGCTGGATGGCCTTCCTCCTTGGGTCAAGGAGGGAAAGCTCGCAGTAGAACGCTTTGACACCCAGCTGACTGTCCAGGGGATGAGAGAGTTCAAACAGCTTGTGGTCGCAGGGGGGGCCTGAGAAAGCCGTCCAAGCCATCCAGAAGGATGCCATCGAGCTGGGCCCTGATTTAGACAAGGCCTTGGGTGTTCTTCGGCAGGCTCAGCTTCTGCAGAGTTTGTCTTCAAGCCCAGATGACCCTTTGCCCCAGCAAGCCAAGACATTGCTCACCATTGACAGCCTTGAGATTGAAAACATCAAGTTCTTCTTTCCTGACGTGATCGACACCCTCACCAAGTTCAGGGCCAAGGCCCATGAGAATATGGCAGAGGGTTTGGGCAAGGTTGAAGAGGCGATCAAGAATGCTCAGACCAAACTCTGCAAGTACAGGTTGGGAGTTGCGAATCTGACTGTTGGACCAACCTAGTTTTGGGGAAAACGATCACTGACAGTTTGCGTGTTGTTCTATAGGAGTCCAGCCTCACTACTCACTCTTTCATTTTTTGACCCCTGCAGTGGCTTGGTGGAAGCTGTCACTCACTGGAACATGGATAGCGTTGGCTGGATATTTTCTGACGAGAATGACACCGAGAATGAGTTCTTGGAGCTGCTGCAAGTGCGGGAGCAAATGGCTCACGACAGTAAAGTTCTTGAGACCATCCTCACCTTCAAGACTTTGAAGTCTGGCTCAGAGCATGTCATCTCCAGGGCAAAGCCTTTGCGAAAAGACGTTGAGGAGAGGGAGGGACCTAGCTTTAGGCTTCCGTCCAAGTTTGGGCTGTAGGGTGTAGGCCAGGCGTGTAGGCTATAAGGGATGTTTTTTGTTCTGAATTCCAAACTTCAATTTGCAGGTTCCAGGTTTGAAGGATCCTAATTAACAGCAGTGTTGCCTGGAATCTGGAATTAGGAATTGCGTGCCCTCATCTCTTTGACAGTTGCTTGCGGAACAGCTGCTGAGTGTGTGGTGAACCAGCAGAAGTACAAGGGTGGCGCATTGTCAGTGGCACGGAAAGTGGGTGCCTTTCTGAGCCAGAAATGCGCACTCAGTGTTGGAGATCTACCAGGTGCTCTTCGGCTCAAGTTTGAGGAATTTTCTCAGATGGACAATGCCAAGAGCTCTCCTGAGGAGAAGAGTCTTCAATTGAATTTGCATTTGTACTGCCAGCTTCTTTTTGTCAGCTGTCCTGAGTCCTTTGTTTCTTCCCAAATGTTCTGTGGTCAGTCTGTAAGCTCTTGTTTGGCTCAGGAAGGACACTCCAAACGAAGATGGGGACAAGAGGAAGCGAAAGGCCGCAGAGAAAGATACCAAACCAGCAAAGTCAACAAGGGTGAAGCCTGAGACGACTGAAAAGGAGTCCAGGAAAAGGAAATCTCAAAAGTGAGTAGATATGCGGTATGCGCTTTTGGCTTAGGGAGGTCTCTGCAGATCTTAGGGGTGGATAGATCGACTGGACTGGACCTCACTGTTTTGAGCCCGCGGAAAAATCGTGCTGGATCAACTTTTGCGGCTGGTCTCTTGTTTTTTTTTTTCCGCAGGAGCCGTTAGAAGGTAGAGATTGAAATGACCTGTGAGCAGTTATTTCTTTCAAGGTGCATTGTCCTGTGATTGATCAAAGAAGAGGTGAACAAAGCTAAGGGTCTGGGAGGTCTCTTTCCTGTCAGGCAGCCCACCTATTTTATAAATAGTTCCAGATGTAGTCAGGGGGTATGTTATGAGCCTGACAGTTAAAGAGGCCCACCCAGACCCTAATATATACCTGTATCCCCCAATCTATAGCAAAAGCACGGGGGCATGAAAGCATGATTATATTATATGATACTATACTACATGAAATAGATTGAAATAATTCATCCCGTTTAGAATCAACCCTCCCTCGATCCATTACCACTGTAATATACTGTAATGTTTCCCCATCAAAACGGTTGACGCTAAGATCCCTGCTTCAAAAGAAAGAGGCTTTCCAAACCTCATCGACTTGGAATTGATTTTGGACTTCAATGGTGTACAATGGTTGATCTGTAAAAAAGACCCTGACAATCCAATCATGTACTATTCACATGCTTGAACCATCTGGTAAAAAGAAATGCGTGTTTGGATTCACAACGGGACATCTGCTACTAGGAGCAAGGACGCTATAAGGGGCTCCTGGCCATACTACTAGGAGCAAGAAGCTACTACGCTACT